CTTACCTGGGCATTTACTTACTTTACTTCCTTGGCACTCACTTCCATTACCTACTTTACTTACCTGGCACATAGGTCTTTTACTAAACTTACGGGACACTCAAAAGTACTCACTTGGTATTCACCTACTCTACTTACCACGCTCTCTCTCTTAAGATACCTGGCACACCTTATTTTACTGATATCCACTCTACTTACCTAGCACTCGTGTACTGTACTTACCCAGCCCGTACTTACTAGTACTGTACTTACCTAGCACTCTCGTACTGTACTTACCTAGCACTTTCGTACTGTACTTACCTTGCACTCTCGTACTGTACTTACCTAGCACTCTCGTACTGTACTTACCTAGCACTCTCGTACTGTACTTACCCAGCCCCCGCGTACTCTACTTACCTAGCACTTGTGTACTCTACTTACCTGGCACTCGTGTACTCTACTTACCTAACACTCGTATATTCTACTTACCTATCACTCACATACTAGACTCACGCAGCACTCGCGTACTCTTCTTACCTAGCACTCACGCACTCTACTTAGCACTCGCTCACTCTACTTACCTACCACTTGCGTACTCTACCTACTTAGCACTTGCTCACTCTACTTACCTAGCAATCACGTATTACTACTACCTAGCCTCATGTCTACCTAGCTCTCACGTGCTCTACTTACCTAGCCCTCATGTACTCTACTTACCTAGCACTCACGTGCTCTACTTACCAAGCACTCGTGTACTCTACTTACTTAGCACTTGCTCACTCTACTTACCTAGTAATCACGTATTCTACTTACCTAGCCCTCATGTACTCTACTTACCTAGCACTCACGTGCTCTACTTACCTAGCCCTCATGTACTCTACTTACCTAGCACTCACGTGCTCTACTTACCAAGCACTCGTGTACTCTTCTTACTTAGCACTCGCTCACTCTACTTACCTAGCACTCGCGTACTCTAATTACCTTACACTCACATACTTTACTTACCTAGCACTTGCGTACTCTATTTATCTAACATTTGAGTACTCAACTTACCTAGCACTGTATTCTATTTATGTAGCACTTAAGTATTCTACTTACCTAGGATTCGCATACTCTATTTACCTAGCACTCGTATACTCTTCTTACCTAGCAATCACGTACACTGCTTACCTACCACTTGCGTACTTTACTTAGCACTCGTTCATTCTACTTACCTAGCACTCATGTATTCTACTTACCTAGTACTCACGTACACTACTTCCCTAGCACTCTCTACTCTACTTACCTAGCCTTCGCGTATTCTACTTACCTAGCACTAACATACTCTACTTACCTAACACTTGCGTACTTTATTTGTGTAACATTCGAATATTCAACTTACCTAGCACTTGAGTATCTACTTACCTAAGACTTGCATACTCGGCTTCCCTAGCACTCTACTTACCTAATACTCATGTACTCTACTTACCTAGCTGCTGCATACTCTACTTACCCGGCCCCCACGTACTGTCCTTACCTAGCAATCGGGTACTCTACTTACCTAGCACTCGTGCACTCTACTTAACTAGCACTCGTGCACTCTACTTAGCATTTGTGTACTCTACTTACCTAGCACTTACGTCTCTACTTACCTAGCACTTGCATACTCTACTTACCTAGTACTCGCATACTCTGCTTACCTAGCACGCATACTCTACTTACCTAGCACTCGTGTATTCTACTTATCTAGTACTTCTGTACACTACTTACCTAGAACTCGCGTATTCTAATTAACTAGCACTCATTTACTTTACTTACCTAGCACTTGCGTACCTATTTATCCAACATTCGAACACTAAACTTACCTATTACTCACATATTCTACTTATGTAGCACTCATATACTGTACTTACCTAGCGCTCACATACTCTACTTACCTAGCACTCGCGTATTCTACTTACCTGGCACGTGCATACTCTACTTACCTAGCACTCATGTATTGTACTTACCTAGCACTCACATACTCTTCTGAACTAGCAATCGCGTATTTTACTTACCTAGTACTCACGTATTTTACTTATCTAGCACTTGCATACTGTACTCACCTAGCATTCGTGTATTATTACTCATATTACCTAGCACTTGCGTACTACTAACGTTGCACTCGACTCTTCTTACCTAGCACATACTCTACTTACCTAGCACTCGCATATTCTACTTACCTGGCACATGCATACTCTACTTACCTAGCACTCATGTATTGTACTTACCTAGCACTCACATACTTTTCTGAACTAGCACTCGCGTATTTCACTTACCTAGCACTCACGTATTTTACTTACCTAGCACTTGCATACTGTACTCACTAGATTGCATTATATTTGTGTACTCTACTGTGCCTAGATAGCACTTGCGTACTCTATTCTATTACCTAGCACTCGCATACTCTACTTACATAGCACAGCGTACTCTACTTACCTAGCACTCGCATATTCTACTTACCTGGCACATGCATACTCTACTTACCTAGCACTCATGTATTGTACTTACCTAGCACTCATGTATTGTACTTACCTAGCACTCACATACTCTACTGAACTAGAACTCGCGTATTTTACTTACCTAGCACTCATGTATTTTACCTACCTAGCACTAGCATACTCTACTTACCTAGCACTTGCATACTGTACTCACCTAGCATTCGTGTATTGTACTTATATAGCTCTTGTGCACATGCGATCTCTACTTACCTAGCACTTACTTATTCTACTTACCTAGCACTCGTTTACTCTACTTACCTAGCACTCGCTGTCAGGGTTTGTTTTCCTCTGACTTTATTGGGTTATGGAGACACATTTCTGGTTCCTTCCTTTATTTGGTTGAGGTGGCTGGTAGCGTGGCATGGCTATGTCTCGTGCTGGTGCAGTTGTGGCCAAGGGCGAGTCAAGGGCCGGATTCTCAAACGCATTAAGGCGCCGTATCTCCTTAAGGCACCTTAACTTACGGCCAGCGATCTAACGGCCCATGCACAGAGCAAGGGGCCCGCCATATTGGTGCAAGTTAAGGCGCCCTCGGTTAGGGCAGGGGGAGAGCAGCCTTAACGAGTTACAGCGAAGCATAAATGACATTCTTTAGCCCTAGAACAATTAATACAATATTACAATTTGTATTTTACTCAATTATAGTGTCATTAGGTGTACATAAACCAATTGCGGACTACTAGATAAGGCAACAAGTGTAGTATTCCAATATAACT